GGAGAGCGAGGTGGTATTCGGTACCTCGGGGAAGTTGGAGACAGGCAGACGGACGACAGGCTTCGAGATGGTTGCAAGAAGATGGAAGGGTCTGAAGGGAGGGGGAGGTGAGGAGGGGGAACTTTGGACTTACAAGATCCATCAAATCCCGAAAACACGCCCCCTATGATGCTGGTGGTGGACCGATGGCACTGCCAATAGGAGAGCAACGGCGGTGCTGCAGTGCATGCAGATAGAACGAAGCTATATCGAGCCAGCAGAGCGGAGGCTGGTGAGACAATCCCCCATACACAATAGATACGATCGATAGCTGAGGGGGCGATAAGTCGTATGCACCCTGGCGAGGGGCAAAACGTCGTCTACTTTTCCCCAACGTTGACGGGATGCTGGACTCGAATACCGAAACGGGGCGCGGCGAACTGGAGGGGACAAGCAGAGTATCGTCGGGACGTCTCGAGTAGACGGGCACGGGAGGGAAAGGAGACAGAATGGAGGCCGGCGGGAGATGGGAAAGATGGGAGAGTGAGGTGAGTGGTTGGATTCCCAGAACCAGAGTCCCTAAGGTAAGGTACGCAAGTTAGGTACGGTACGGACGGTAGAGACGGCAAGAGCGGTAAGCACGGTAAGGTAAGCAAGCAGGTAAGGGTGGTGCAGTGCAGTGCAGTGCAGTGCATCGAGAGACATGAACGTCAAGGACAGGAAAAGAGAGGACGGCAGAAGGTGCATCCCGTCCAGTCTCCCGCCTTCCATTGCCTTGGAGGTGTTTTGGGCCATGTCTTAGCACGCACCGCACCTCGCCCTAAGCAGTAAGGCTCCAGGTCCCTAGGGGACGAACGGTACTCGATACTTTGGCTCTTGCAATTAAGGGTGTTTGCCTTGGAAACGGCACTTCAGCCATCACCGCCATGTCACGCTTGTTATTAGATGGGACCTTCGTTTTTAGGTGATGAGGTGAGGTAAGCAGTCACCAGTGTTGAATTCAATGTAACTGTGAGGCAACATGGCACGCCCATCCCTCCCTCCCGCCTGTATGATGGATCGAGGGTCTCCCCCAGCATTCCCACGCCCATGGTGTTGCGTCCCTTGCGGACTCCCCGTCCTACCGGCGCAGGCGTGGTATGTACTTGTTAGCATCAAGCATGTATGTGCAGACGCATCTCGACATAGGTAGCCGGTAGGTAATAAGATATCGAGGCACCTGACCGGCCCTCGTTGACCGGCCAGGCCCAAGCTCGAGCAAAGCACGCACTGGACTCAGTTACAGTGTTCCATCCCTTCGAAAGATACAAAATACCCGGCACGGACTATGACGGCGAGGAGCGTCAGGTGCGACCTCCAGTCCGGCTGCTTTTGCTTGCTTTTCCTAGGTGCCTGGCCGGAGTGCATCTCACCGGTCTGCAAGTGCAAGTGCAAGTGCAAGCCAAACCCAACTGTCCGGAGGGCCATGTGTCGTCGGCGACTGAATTAAACCTTAGCCCCTTCAGCGGTCAATGGGACGAACTAACCCCAGATTCCACAGTGCCTCGTGTCTCGTCGACACCCGCGGGACACACGCCCGACACCTTCATCCCATTGTCAACCGGATGATGGACAGGAACATGAGCGGCAGTCCCATTGTTCCAGCTGTCTGTTTCAATGCCATATCGCATTCCGCCCACCTCTACACCTCTTCTCCTCAACTCGTCTGAACCGAACCAGAATGCGAATCCGCCCTCCCGGTTCATCTCCATTCCACTGCCCCGTCACTCACACTGCCATGCCATGCCATGCCACCCCACAACACGGCGACACCCCTCATCCATGGATCACATCCAACCATCCGACACTACCGCTGCCAACGACTATCCATTCCTCTTTTATCTATCCTGACGACTGCACGTCGCCCCTTCCACCTCAGCTCCTCTATCAGCAATAACCACCATTCGGCCTCCGCCCCTTTCTCGCCCTGCCATCAAGTAGTAGCAGCAAGACGAGCACGACTAGCAAAAGCCGTGAGTGGGTGCATCCCCAACGAAGGATAGCCGTTCGTTCTTCCTCTCCTCGGCCGGAGCGACCAACGGTGGTGCTCGCTATCCCAGCATGCCCAGCACACCATCTCGCCCTACGCTGCCGTTCATCAAATCGACCCTCTTCGGTTCGCGGCCAAGCAACATGACGATCCCTTTTCGTGCATTCGGGCCCTCCAAGAATACTCCAAAGCGCAGCCCAGACAGGCGCGGATTCGACCCTAGCACCAAACAACCCAGCATGCTGGCCTGGCGCCATGCAGCGCACGGGTGCAGCGACCGCGTGCACTGATCCCTTCCGCGCAAATCCCCCATCCGCCGCCCCTCTCCGTCGGCCTTCTCGAGTCGTCGAGACCAGCTTGGAAACATGTTCGGACGAAGACGAGTGCCGCCCGGTGAGCGCCTGGTACCTGCTTCCATCTGCGTTTCAATCGTTCGTTCGCCCTAATACCACCGGCTTCGTGGTAGCGTCAGGTACCGCCGGTCCAGAACAAAGCCCGTGGCGGCGCGCACCGGGTATCGTCTCCCTGCCTCCAACGCCTTCACTTGCCGGTCATGACTTCTATTAATGGGCAACATCCTCCGCGGAGCCATCCCTCCTGTCCTCGTCTACACGCTCAATGGGAAGCTCAGTCTCTCGTCAGCGGGCCACCCCAGCAACAGCATCTGACGGAGGGCCACTCTTCCTCAGCCCGTACTAGCCAGCAACGAGACAAGCGCAACGATGCGAAGAGTCTCTCTCAGCTAGTCAAACACAAGCGAACAAGAACCCCACTGATAGTGCCCCCAAAGTGCTGCATATTGTCGTTGCTACCTTATGCGATACTTGCTCTGTCGCTCTTGGCCGGATCACTCATCATGAACAAGGTGGCATCGCGGGTGGTTGCGCCGCGCAATCGCAACACCCCGGATCATGAAGCGGGACCAATCGAAATCACCATCGGAGGCTGCATATTTTCAAACGAGAAATCCTCCGATGGATAAAGTGAATTGCAACGCAACACGAACTGCGACTCAAACCAACGACGGGTCACCTAAATCAAAGACCGAGACCAGCAGAGCCAGATTCTCACCTCATCTCACCGGCTCACCATCCTGAGCCAATCTCGCGTGTGCCGTAGCCCAGCCAGTCGGAGTGTTTTCCCGCGTCTTGTGTCCCTTCTCCCGGCTTCCTTTTCATCTGCTGCCGTGTGCCTGAAGATCGTTGCCACAAAAAAAAACCTGCTTCTGCCGGCCCCCGTGCGGCCGTTTGGTATCTCGGTATCTGCAACTCTGTTTGCACGTTGATAAAAGCTGACAAGCATTCATTGGCACAGCCAGTATCCGTTCGAAATACAACACATACACGACCCTCGGACCTCTTCTCCGCCCCGCGATGCGGTGGATCGTTATATCGGTCTATCCCTTCCTTGAGACCCAAAAAGACGGGGCATTTCGTCTTTCTTCTTCGCAAACGCAGAAGAGAAAAGGAATTACACCCGGCCTGTCCCTGGGCGTTGCACAGACAGCCGATCCACTGCATCCCATCTTCTTGGGTGGTCCATATGGCCGTCCACTGTTTTCCTTTTTCTGCCCTGTCTTGCGAAAAGCATATGGGGACTGAGGAGAACAAGAAAACAAGATGGCAGCCAAAAGAGGGAGTCCACGATGGATGGAGAGCTCCGGGAGAGCGTTCATCGTCATGTCGTCGTCCTTGGACCGGTGAGCCAAAAAGCAAAGCACCGCCGCTGCGGCCCCAAGTGGAAAGGGCCCCCAGCTTTGCTTCGCTCGGTGGAGTCGTCGTTGGATTATTTTTGGTAAGTGCAGACAGATGACAGGATGAGATCGGGCGGGATCCTTGCTGTCGACGCTTGCTTTTTTCCAACACTTTCCAACAAACGCTCTTCACGGATGGCGGATGCGGATGTTGGCGTCTCTCTGCTGTCCTGCCTGTCCTGTCGTTGGTTCGAGGGAATCCTACGACGATGGTTTACCGCCACCGTGACCACGGAAGAGCTCCCCGGGCCTCGATGTCTCTTTTTGTCTGGCTTTCTGCCCGCGGCCTGCGTAATCAGATCCTGTCGTACTCGCGGGATGGCACCGTTTCACAGGACTTTGCTTGGTAACGCAAAGCCGCCCGCCCCCATTTGCAAGTTCAGCTCTGGGCATTGGTGAAGTGTACACGCTACATACACTTATTTTCTCCAGAAACCGACGCAGCCGCGTGTAAACCAACCCGTCTCCTGCAGCATGCGCGCGCGGGGTTCGCTGCTGCTGCTAGATGCTGCACTCACTGACCTGCAACTTGCTTCTTCGATCACGGCTGAAGAAAAGAGCCCACGAGCTACTGCTGTAAGGGAGGCGGGAGAGCGGGGAGGGGAGGGGAGATCTGTATGTCCCGCCCCTCGTCGACGTGCGCTTGCTTCGAGTTGAAGCGCGGCAAAAAGGAACCCCCGACCCCTTCCGCCCGGACCGTGATAATAATATGCTGTGACTTGTCTGTCACCCGTGTGAAAATTGAAGTTTATTGAGCCCGCCCGGGTTTCCAATCAAAGTCTGACGGAGATTGAGGTTGGGTCGCCTGGGAATGGTCGCCTGGGAATGTGTCGACCACGGACAAGTAGCCTGCGGCGTGCGCTCTGCGCCGCACGCAACATCCCTGCGTCGGTCTGCTGGGAGGCCAGGCCCAACGTGATGGCTCCGGCGTGGGGGCCATGGGGTTGGGACAGGTTCATGAAGCGGGCACCGGGAGTCCACGTCCAGAAGTGCACTGTCCCCTTTTGGAATGAAAAAGATATGTAGTCTATAAACTCTTCTACGTCACGACTTCTCGACTTGGAAAATACACCCCATGATGGCTTCTACTCCGTATGCATGCACAGTCGAGCCCGCCCCCAAGTCTATGGATATCCCAATGCAGTTTTACCCCCGAAAATGCACCTAATTACTGAGGCCAAATAGACACGCATATCCAACGGTGTTGCCTCTATAGGCGCGAAATACACGTGGGTTCCATTACGACTGCCCCCGCAGCTCGGCCTCCGTCTCGACATTGTGCGTCCTCTTGGGCCGCTTGAAGGGGTGCGCCTCTGTGTTCAGCACCCAATCGTCAAGGCTGATGACGTCGGGCGGTGAGAAGATGAGGTAAAAGTATTTGAGCGTCTCGGAGAACCAGAAGCTCTCCATGGAGTCTGTCTTGGTCGTCATCTCCGCGTACGGGACGTTGACGTTGGAGATGGCCGAGTAGGCCAGCGGCGTCTCGGTGGCGCGCTGGATGGCCTGGAACATGTCCCACGCGGTGTCCCGCCATTCCTCGTCGCCCGTGATGCGATACATGTAAAAGATGCTCTCGATCGCCTCGGGCCGGAGCATGTAGCGGCCGTCGCGGACTTGCTTGACGCCGGCGGGCACGTCGCTGCGGCCGTAGGCCTTTTCGTCCCACTCGCAGGCGCCGTGGTCTGGTTCGTTGCACGGGTGCAGGGTCATAATCTCCGGCATGATGCCCGTAGGGAAGACCTTGTAGGCCCAAGCGCAGCCGCGGGAGATGCGCTCGCCAATATTGACGTAGGAGTCGGAGCTGAGGAGCTTGCCGGCAAGTCCGTACATGGCGCCAGCGAAGCAACCCAAGTGCTGGGCCTCGGGAGTGAGGTCCACCGAGTGAGCGGAACCGTGGGCGAAGACGTTGCCTGGAATCAGGATGTCGGTCTTGTTGGGGAGAATGGGGCGGAACAGAATATGTTTGTTGATGACGTCGAAAGACGAGGTCGTAAGCTTCTCGTACTCACTGTCGAGACCACCCAGCAGTGCGTGCATCTTTGGTAGGTACTCGTACAGCGAGTCGGCCTGAGCGCCGATGGTGAAGGAAGACTCGTCCGCCTTCTCCTCGCGATAGTTCATAAACATTGGCCACATGCCGGGTAGCTTCGTGTCGGGCTGCGTTTTCACCAAGAACTCCTTCACGCGCTCCGTGGCATCATAGTACTTCGGGTCACCGGTGATCTGCGACAACCGGGTGAACTCCATTGATAGTGAGCATCCCGCAGCAGAGGACTCGCGCTCGCCAACCTTTTGGGTGCCGTACTTTGCATCAGAGAACTTAAACCAAAACGGCGGCATGCGATTAGGCGTGTCGAAGCCCATGTATAACATGTCGCCAAGCTCGATAGCCTTGGCCAGCAAGGCGGGCTCGCTGCTGAGGTCGTAGGCGCTGATGAGCCCTCCTAGATGTCGGATGGTAGTCTCAAACATGTTGGCGGCAGACTCGGTCGTGTTAGACCAGTCGATGAGAGCGACGGTGCGGACCGCCCGACGGAACTCGTCGTGCATCCCCATGATCCAAAGGGAGTCAAGGCCATCGACCATGCTCGCTGCCCAACCGCCAAAGGTGTTCTTTCCAGCGCCCGTGACGGGTGTCAACTCGTCCCAGGTCCACGCATGCTGCTTGTAGCTGTCCCAACTGCGTCTGAAAGCATTCACCACGGCGGCACGGCGGGATTCGATCTGTTTCTCGTGTTCGCGGTCGCGGTCCTCGTCATGTGAAAACTTCTTGTTCTTTTTGTTGGACTTCTTCCCGCTGGTGCCGAAGGCGTACTGAACGGGAGGGAGGTCGACGGGTTTGCCCTTCGGGAGCGTGCGGAGGGGCTTCTCGAGAGGGTATTCGAGGTTCAGGCTGCCCCAGTCGTAGCTCGACTTACGGTAGCGGATGCCATTGAAGGAGAGCTCGCGGGCGCTCCAGCCAGCTGGGAGGCCGGTCTGCCACAGAAAGAGCAGGGTGAGGGCAATGCCCAGGTAAATTGGTAGCCTCGCAGGGCGGCGGCGGATGGTGATCATGTTGGCGGCTCGGCGTAAGGGCAGATGGGCGGCAACGGCAGCATTTCTCGGAGCAGCTGGTTACTCATGTCTAATCCCCGCGCAAATGGTGGGAAATTGGTGTCGTTCGTTCCTCTCGACTGGCGAGAAAGGGAGGAACAGGCCGACGTTGTCGCTTGAAAGAAAACGACGTGTCGGTTCAACCAGACCTTCTGAACGTTTGGGGGAGGAAGTAAGGTCCAGGGGAAACTTGGAAGAAAAGAGGAACCCAGACACAGAGCTCCAAGGTTTGAGACCAAACAACCCGTAGGAGGTCAGGGGGACCGCTGCTTGCCGTTTCCAAGCCAAGCGGACCATCTTACCGTCGTCGATGTGCGCTGCTGCTCAACACGAACACCACACGTGTACGTAAGGAATTGCCAAGAGCTAATCCGGCTTCCCCTTTCCGAGCCAACCAGACCAGCCAGCGAGGGCGTAAAACCCAGGCGTTCGCTGAGGCTTAAGCTGGATGGGTCCGGTCTTGGGAAACACACTGCCCGCCGCACCGTGCAACTGCAACTGCAACTCCGCTGACCAGACGTTTTGCGAGGCCAAGAATCGGACGGATCGTCATAGTGGGCCGTCCATTGGATGCCGCCCGGTCTCGCGACGAGGATGCGGTCCTGGAATGGGGGGCGGCGAAAGGACCACTGTAACCTGCCTTTTCGCACGTCAGATTAAGTGCCAGCTCCCGCGCTTGAACGGGGGCCTTCCCAGTCGTTGCAATTAATTTAGGATTTTGTGGGGTATCGACCGCCGCCCCCTGTCTATCAGTGGACTGTGGGTGTGGCTGCTTCTCACCTCGCGGCACAAACAAAATGAATACGCCGGCCACCTCATTCGCTCTCCTCGGTGTGCATCCGAAGCCCGTCATATTGAAGTAGGCGCTATATTGAATGTCTTTCAAAGCAGCCTGTGGATCAATATTTGTTTTAGTGGCATTGCAAACTGCTAGCGAAATCTGGGGCATTGGGGGCTTGAGTGCAAATCAGTAAAGACCGTGATTTCTACGTAGACTCTATGGGCTAAATCTAAGCTGGAGTTGTGCAATTCCGTGTTCATTGCATCATCGCATAAGCTCTTCTCAAGACCTCTGAGCAGCAAGTTGCGTATTGCAGACTCAGATGACCGAGTCCATGTTATGATTGACCAGACCAAGCTGCCGCATGAGATGCAGACGCATGTCCTTCGCCCAAGCCGGTCATCGTCCACTTCCTCGTCCATCTCCCCATTGCTAACACTAACAGCACACTGATAACAATCTGCGAATTGCGGGCCGTTGAGGGCGCGCGAGCGATTCCCTCCGTCGGTTGCAGCTCTCGCTGGTCGGGCCATCACCCGCCTGCGGCACGTCGTCGTCGGATATCGACTCCTCGGTCTGATGAAGTATCTACCGTCGACCGGGGCCAGTCCGAGACGCCTCTGGACTGAGGCGAACTGCCTGCTCCTTCGTACAGCACCGAGCGTGGTGCGGCGAGGGCTGAAAGCCGGCGGATGATTCGGTAAGAAACCACTCGTGTGGTTGGTACAGCATGTTCCTGTCCGTATCCGTCACGCTTTTCAGTCGAAGCCGCCACCAATCTGGCTGTGGAAGGCGGTGCTGACGCTCTTCTCATCGTCGTCGTACCGGCGGGCGTAGCCGTTGCCGGTTGCCATGCGGCCACCGCTCTCGACGTACTGCTTCAAGCGGTCGCTGTGGCTGTAAGACGCGGGCCGCATTCCGTGAATAGCGTCCTGGAGGCCAGCACCCAAGCTGACACCGCCTTGACCAACACCCTTGGCGCCGATAACGCTGGCGCTGGCATCTGTGTACTCGGAGTTGGCAACGCTCTCGCCGGCGATGCTTTCAGTTGCGCGTCCACCCCTCTTGTTGCCAGAGCGGCCTGCTGCGGGTACTCCAGGCAGACCAGGCCATTGCTCAGGAGTAAAGCTGGAAAAGATTGGCGGATAGGTGGTGTTCAGGCCAGCACCGCCGAGCGAGCTGTGGATGGAAGAAACGTCGTCGGGAATGTAAGACATCATCGACCCCGAGTCAAAGTCACGCGTAGAACCAGCGCCGTTGAAGCGGTTGCCGTTGGGGAACCCGCCGCCGCCGCCGCCGTTGAACTGAGGAGGCTGGCTCATTTTTTGGCGGTAAGCAGTTCTCGGCTTGCCAAACTGCAGAAGAGAGGTCTGCAGGTTTGTCAAGGGGCCCTCGACCAAACACTTTCGCTCCTTGAAGTGAACGAGAAGGTGGTGCCAGAGCTCGTGCTTAGAGAGAACCTTTGGGTTGCCAATGATGACGAGGCCGTACTTGGCACGGGTCAAGGCGACATTGAGACGACGCGGGTCTGACAAGAAACCAATGCCCTGGTTATCGTTCGAACGGACACAGGACAAGACGATGAAATCCTTCTCACGACCCTGGAAAGCGTCGACAGACGCGACTTCGACCTCCTTGTAGCTCTCCTTCTTGAAAGTGCCAGTGTTCTGCATGGTGCTAACGATGTAGCTTCGTTGACCCTCGTACGGAGTGATGACACCGATATCCCCGGGCTTCACTCCAGCCTTGAAGAAGCGGGTGACAACCTTCTCCACGTTCGAAGCTTCAGTGCGGTTCAAGTAGGATGTACCAGATGCAGAGATCTCCTCGTTGCCAAGGTTGGACCAGAACATCATCGGCATGTCCGCAACAGGCCAGGGGAAATCCACGTCGCGGCGAAGACGCTCTCTATGTGTAACTCCGTTCTGGAGGGATCCGTCGTAGAACATGTTGGAAGGGAACTCGGACAAGCAGGGGTGCATGCGGTACTGGATGTTAAGGCGGATGGGCACCAAGCGCAGGTTGACCAGACGCTCGAACAGTGACTGGTTCAGGCCAGCCTTTGCTGCCTTCTTGTTCATAATGACGGGGCCCAATTGCTTGTGATCACCGACCAACACAACTTGCTTGCAGCCAAGAACCAAGGGGATCATGCACTCCGGCTCAGCGGACTGGGTAGATTCATCGATCAAAACGTTGCGGAACTTCATCTTGGAAAGACGAGGGTCGCCAGCACCAACGCAAGTGCAGCAAACGACATCCGCATTGTGAAGGATGTCCCTCTCAGCGGCCTTGGTGAGCTGTTTGAACTTCTTCTCATCTTGACTGGACAACTCGCCCAATTCGCTCTTGAGCTGTGCAAGCTTAACAAGCTCTCCGTTGCTGTCGTTCATACGGACCTGCTCGTGGAGGGCAAGGAAGCTCACAGAGGACTCTACGTCTTCGCGCGACTTGGCTGTAAGACGGACAACCTTGAGACCGGTGCGGTGAATACGCTCGCAGAGTTGGTCGACAGCGACGTTGGACGGAGCGCAGACCAAAACTTGGCCGTTGTTCATCTTGCAAAGGTGGTAGATAATGGTCGCTGAAGTCACGGTCTTGCCGGTTCCGGGAGGGCCCTGAATCAAGCTAAGCGGAGTAGACAACACTGCCTTGATAGCGGCGATCTGGCTGGTGTTGAGGTCAGGAAGGCCCGGGACGCTGAACTTCTTAGGCATAGTCGTCTTCTGAGGCGCAACCGCCACGTCGTGACCGAGAAGCTTGTGGAAGATGTATCCGGAGACACTCATGTCGTCGACAGCAAAGGTCTTCATCGCATACTGCATGCGGTCATAAGATGTAGCCTTCCACACGTAGTCTGCAGAGAAGTTGTGGGTGCACTCGGTCGGGACCGTCTTCTCGTTGCCTGCCTTTCGCAACTCCAGAGTGACTTCATCGGACTGATTGTTGGGAATCTTGATGACATAGCCGACTCCCTCCCATGCAGGACGAAGCTCTCCCTTGTATCGCAGACGCATCTCGTCACCAACCGCCAGCTTCACGTCGCCAGATTCTATCTTGTGGAGCTCGAAGCTGACAAGGTGCTTGTTGTTGAGACCGTAATCCCAGCGAACTGTCAGACCGTCCTCGGATTGGGCCTCCTTGAGTTTCTTGTCGTAGTCGGACTCCATCTTGACCAGAGGACCGAAAATGTTCTGGTAGTGGTATGGGTCGTCGTACTTGAGCAAGACGGGGTGAGGATCGTCATCGATGCTGTTGGCCTTCTCGAGGTCGGCGACGGTCGCGGTAGAGTTATCCTTCCACATCTCCTCCAGCTTTGCAATCATAGGCGGGGTCAGGTGTCGTGCACGGAGTTGCTCGGCATCAGAAGGAGTCGCGACAAGCCAGGTCAGGAACGCTCGCTCCTCGATCAGGGGCTGCCATCGCGAGGTGTCCCAGCTCATGTCCTTGGAGGACGTATTGGCGGCGCATGGCTGGCGGCAAAGAAGCACGACAACGGTGTCTGACTTGGCAGGGATAAAACCCAGGAGGAAGACGTTCTTGGTTCCGCAGTTGTAGCATTCGAGCACGGTATCGCCCAAAGTCGACTCGGGGTGAAGCTGGACCTCTTTGTGACGAGCTCGGACAAGATGGTTAACGATATGGCTTGAAGTTGCGTTGCCACGAGCGCTACAGAACCACTTGTTGCAGCCAAGGCACTTGACGACGGAACTCGGTGAGTGGATTCCACAGTACCTGGGGAGGGGCCAAGTCAGCATGGTACTTGGCGCAAAGGGTGACGGTGGGCAAACTTACGCGCAGGCGTGAGGTGGAAGCTCCCTATCTTCTTCCTGAGGTCTGCCGAGGTTCAAATCCTTCATGGCCCCGACGGGCATGCTCGTCAAGCTATCGTTGTCGTCATCGTCGTACAGCTCCGTTTGGTTGTCATCGTCATCGGCGCGGCGGCGACCACCGCGGCCGCCAAACTTCCCGTAGAGAAGGCTTTCGTCGGGGTCGATGCCGGTAAAGTCGTCGGCGCCGGCCTTGATCGCCGCAGTACTGTCATTAATGAGGTGGTTCCCCAGGTGCGTAAATGCGCCTTCCATTGTCGCGATAGTTCGCTCCTCCACTTCTATCTATCTCGTTGCTGATCTTCTACTCCCTTGGGAGAAACTGGTCAGCGGAAAGTTCGGACAGAGGC